AGTGCTCTCCGATAGTCGGTTCCCGTGGTTCTCGGTCTTTCTTATATACATTCATACACTTTCAAGAGCCGCACATTTTATTGGTCAAAGCCTGTACAATGGAAGCGATAAATAGATCACTCGATCTCGTGTAAATCCATCTATTAAGGCAAGAGATCCTGTGGAACTCAATTCCTGTTAGCGTAGTTCACCCGAAGCTGCCGACCACTGAAATCAGCTCCGTTGAGTGTGTTGACGGCGTTGCTCGCTCCAGCTGCATCGGCGAAATCACAGAATCCGAAACCCTTCATACGCCCAGTTTCACGGTCATATACGATTCTAAAAAGTGAATTAGAATTCGACCGAAACGATGAAATTGCTTGGCTTACTCACTTCACATTGGTCACATGGCCGGCTTGACTGAAATGATTTCCAACGGCTTCTTCACTGGTTTGGTAAGGAAGGTTTCCAACTACAATAGTCGTTTAAGCCATTTATCGTTTTTGAGAGATAGCATGTGAAAAACTCACCATAGACGGAATGAACACCACGAGATCCCATTGTAGCAGAGTTTATTGGTGAATTGGAAGCGGCTACGAAGAAGTATACTGGATACTATGACATCGGGACTCTTATGAGCCCTTATATAGTATGTTCTAGTGTAGGTGACAAAAGCCCAAGTACCGCCCCAGGTGCTACAAGCTCAGCCCTAGTGTGACCGGAGGTCTATTCACACTACAGACTGTATCACAGGTCATGCTGGGAGGTCAGCCAAGATATCGCTGGTCCATATGGATAACAGAAATGAAGAATAAGTACCAATCTTGCGAATAAAACATGCTATTCCAGGACTTCCCAAAGCTATTCAGATGGGTCTACTTAGGTGAAAAGTTAGTCTCATACTACCTAACAGCCTAATGGGTCATGCATGAGTTTGAATTGAGGAAGGAGTTCTGATAAACCTTGCGACACTCGATTACTTTTGGTAAAAGGTACGCGTACGCACGTACGCACGAAAAGCGAAATAGCAAAACTTAGTTATGTTGCGATTACTATTTTTGGAATACTTCTTGTGCTACTGCTTTTCTTCCAGCATTTCTTACTCGCTGCGATGCTTTTGCTTCATTCCGCTACATTCCTTCGCGCACTACATCTCTTTTGCCGCGAGGCGAAATTTCCGGTTCAACTGCATCACGGTGTCCACTGACAGCTAATTGTAAGTACTGGGTTCTCACTCCATCATATACTCCCTTACCAGATCATCTAGTTGCTCTACGGTAGAAAGGGCTCAGTAGAAGGGCACCACTACGATTTCGGTTAATCGCTGTCGATATCCTCTATATATAATTCGCTGAGTTTCTGTTAGTGTGTGCGTTTGACCTTTGAACGGAAATTCATAACTCCCGTTCCCGTGGACGTAGAGAATTCAAATTTTCTGGAAGTACGGGAGATAGGATGGGAACACTTATAATGGATTGCAAGACAAGATCTGCTTACAGAGGGCGAGGCGTGCACATTAGAAATTTTGGACCGCAGATTCATGACATCTTTTTACCTGGACCTAGCGGGTTGAAATTTGGTAGAAGTACGAGCGAAAGTATGGCAACACTTGTAGCAGGTGGCATGGCCAGACTCCGCCCGCAGGGGCGGTATTGGCGCAGAGTGAATGTTTGAGCGAAATTTCGTAACTTTTGGTTTCCGTGGGCCAAAAGAGTTTAGAAGGATTACAGCTTTTCGTATTAACAGTGGAACCTCGGCATTTTAATAAATGGTGTAGGATATGAGTGGATCGTAGGTACTTGGTGACAGGAACTGATCAACTAACTAATAGGAGAAGATATGAAACTTGAGAGAGGCCACCTGCCGATCAAAATCTTAACGGCTTCGGTGTTTACGATGTGGCTTTGACCGTCCAGTATGTTTCATTCCATATGGGATGCTAGAGCGAGGTAATAAAAAGTGAGTGTAAGTGCAGTGATAGGGACCCATTAGCGGCAATACGTTAAGCAAATGAGAATTTTGTTCATTTCTTCCTATTAGGTTGTGACCGCTACCCAGCAAAGTTTGTGACTCAATGAAGTGATTGAATGACGGATCCTCATTGTTTGATATCATTTGCGACAAGACTTAACCAACCACCAGTCATTTTGAACTTCCAGCTAATGATATCTTTGTAAAGAAAATGGTCCATTGATAACATCTGATAATGACGTTATCATCACACGAAACAACTGCGAGTATCGCCCAAGGCTTTGGTTACCTAACACTTGAATCTTTATTGGGCACTTCTTTTTAAGAAAGAGAGCAAGAGATCGAGATTTCCAATTAGAGGCGTAATCACCGACTTACACTGAATGCCATTTGCACGGCTCTGTTAGTCGTATGTCAAACACCGTATACAACAAAATATTATTTATTCCAAAAAANAACCGGCTGATGATCTCTACTGTATAACAAGCACCACTGCCTACATTATACCACTCTGCCTTTTGAACTTCCCCTCAAGAATTACTACCCCTTTTTGCTGCGAGTTTTGCTATCGCTGCCTCTATCATAATCATGGGATGTTTTGCGGGTGGACGGGCACAGAGGCAAACAATACACACCTACACCGTGCCATCCAAGTTACCGTTTTATGTATAGAGAGGATTTCTCTCCCAGCCCAAGTTCTCGCACGCACGAGCTCAGCATATTACCTGGATACCCGTCCTCTCCTTAAACTCAGACAGAAGGTTCCGTCCTCCTGACCCTGAATCATTTCTTCTCCTTCGCCCTAGCTCGTTAGGAGCATAACAGAACACACTGGGACCTCTGAAAACGGTGAAAGTTGAAAACTTGGGTGTATATAAGAAGGACGTGATCGATTGACCAAAACTATCCTCTGGATAAGAAAGGTTTGAAATGGAATGACAAACAATACTCAATTATCAGTTCATGTTACGGTGCAGTGCTTGGTACGCTCGGAAAAAACGGCATGCTCTCACGCAAAGACCGTCAGCGGAGGCGTGGAGGCTACAGCGTCGTCAACCGGTGAACAGCAACGCTCAATGCTCGGCGCTGTACTATGGATGCGGCCTATAAGTCCGCAAATATCACGTAAGAGAGTGGTAATCAAGGCAAACGCTAACTTGGTCAAAAAATCTAGTGGTTGCCATTGGGAACGTGTAGTAAGCAGCAGTAAGTAAGCATTTTCCAAAAATGGCCATCTAAGACCATAATCCCAACACCAATTTCACTGTTATTTGGTGGAAATCACAAAATTTCTGTCCCCCACACGTCACGAAGCGGCAGCCTGACCGCACTGATAAAAGACCTTCATACTACTTAGCATGAATTCTTAAAAATCCTTTTCTCCCCTAACATGAGTGGACCTGTAGTCGATCAAGTCAAATACAGCTTCTAGTAGATACGCTAGTTTTTGCCCGGCTTCTGTTAGCCACACCCGGAATGGGTTGATCTTATACCACTCATGGGGACCTACTCCTCAGGATCTTGCAAAGCAAACGAGATATCTGTGTGAATAGCTCGTTATGCAACGAGGTTCCAGTAATAACGATACGTCTTGTTTGATGGACGATCGAACCCTTCATGTACTCTCTGGGAAACCAAACCAGTTCCTCTCCCATATCAAATTGGATCGTCGATTGCCAAGTCATTCTCATACACATGCATACACTTTCAAGAGCCGCACATTTTATTGGTTAAAGCCTGTACAATGGAAGCGATAAATGGATGTTTNGATCCGATCTCGTATAAATCCATCTATGAAGGCAATAGATTCTGTGGAACTCAATTCCTGTTAGCGTAGTTCACCCGAAGCTGCCGACCACCAAAATCAGCTCCGTTGAGTGTGTTGACGGCGTTGCTCGCTCCAGCTGCATCGGCAAAATCACAGAATCCGAAACCCTTCATACGTCCAGTTTCACGATCATATACGATTCTAAAAATTGGACGAGGATTTGTTGACGAAAACATTGGAATTTGTTTGCTTACTCACTTCACATTGGTCACGTGGCCAGCTTGACTGAAATGATTTCCAACGGCCTCTTCACTGGTCTGGTAAGGAAGGTTTCCAACTGGAACAGTCGTGAGGTCCACTTCCGGTTCTGGGAGAAGCACGTGAAAAACTTACCATAGACGGAATGGACACCACGAGATCCCATTGTAGCAGAGTTAGATGAATTGGAAGCGGCTACAAACAAATATACTAGATAGTACGTGATCGAGTCTTCCATGAGCTCTTATATAGTGTGCTCTAATGTAGGCGACAATAACCCAAGTACCGCCCTAGGTGCTATAGGCTTCGCCCCAGTATGACTGAAGGTCTATTCGCACCACAGACTCTATCACAGGTCATGCTGGGAGGTCAGTCAAGATATCGCTGGCAGAAATGAAGCATGAGGATAAATCTTACGTAGAGGCCACAGCATAGATCCAGAGGAAACTCCCAGAGCCCTCCACATGGATCTTCTGAAGTGAAAAGTTGAGGGACTCTTACTAACTATCAGTCTAGTAGGTCCTGCGTCTCTTTTATTGGAAAAGGAGTTCCAATAGGTCTCAAGATCACTTGATTACTTTAGATAAAAAATATGCATGAAAAGAGAAAATGCAAGAGTTTTGTTTTGTTGTGAATCCTTTTTTGCAGTCTAGTCAATTGTAATGATGGGTAGGCCATCTATGCAGCTTTACTCCTTAGCACAGGGTGATCCTGACTTCAGTTATTTTGAGACCCAGATCCCATTTAATCTAGCCTCAGGAATGGGAGGAGGTTGTTGAATGAGAGGAGAATAAGAAAAGATTGTAGGGATATTACCCTTAGTATTCGAACAACACAGTCAGCTTCAACTTCTTTGCTTGCTCTAGCCTTTAATGGGCGAACCTTATAATGAGCTCCTTTGGAGGTTCGAATCGGGCCACATCGCTTTTGAAGCTTATCGAAACGTATACCAACTACTCGGCTTGAAACCCTTTCTCTGAGGAGGCCTTTTCTAAGAGGACCTTGAAACCCTCCTCTGAAGGAGCTATCACTACACGAAACCGCGTCTACTCTTTATCTCCATCGTCATTCTTAACCAGTTTGGCTATGCACGCTAATGCGCGCAGTATATGTCGACGGCCACTTATTGACGATGGAGTCATTCAGCGGAATGTTAGATAATCAGAATAAGATAGTTCTCTCTAGATTCGAACGCTGAACTGCTGAGAGCATCACGCTCGATATATTTGAGCAGAGTTATTAGTGGTTGATCATAGCTCCGTCCACCCTAGTGCAAACCCTTCCCACGGTAAACTTGACCACCCTTCTTTTGTCTGCTCTGAACCATTTTTTCCGCATTCCAAAAAGTTTTTAAAGAGATGAATTTTTGGTCTTAGCCCCGCTTTCCTGTGCATGCTCCGCCCACTTCGGGGAATACATTTGTTCCATTACCTCTATCCACTTTTTTCCCGTATTCTAGGACGTTTCTGAACAAAGATCTCTTGATCTAAGCCCCGCCCACTTTGGCGCCAACCCCGCCCACTTCGAGGATTTGACCACATTTGTTCCATTACCTCTTACCACTTTTTTCCCGCATTCTAGAACGTTTCTGAACAGAGTTATGAAATTTTGATCTAAGCTCCGCCCACTTTGACGC